TTAAATTATTGTTTATCTTGTCTAAATAGGAATCACATTGACACACTGATGAAGTTGAGAGAATTTTTAATGCCTCTTTTCCCAATACAGAAAAAAAAGGAAAAAATTTTGTAGAGAACCAGTATACTGAAGTAAAATTCTACAAAACTCAAATCTAAAACCCACCACAACTTTAATGTCTAGAAAATTGTTCTTAGTTCAGTTTCTTCTCCCGACTCATGTGATCACCAAATACTCAGTGTATGAGCTACCGATAGGGTCAACTTCAAGATGATGGTAATCTGACATCCCTTTATACCATACCCTCCATTCAGATCAACTAAGCTTGACCTCTATGGGCACAGAATAATCGATTTTTCTCTTTTCAAAAACTTTTCACTATGATCTTCCCAATCTTCACAACCGCACTCTCAGATTTCCCGTTCATTCTCGCTCGAAATTCTATCCCATACTACAATTTTCAACAGAACTTTCGAATGATCTCGGTATTACTAAGCTTAAATTATTTAATGATGTAAAATAACTCTGTATATACTTTTTCAGAAAACAAAATTAAATAAAACGTGAGAAAATAACAACTAGGAAATTTACTGATTAATCGATGAAAGATAGATCAAACTATCATCTAAAGACCACCGAAAAAATTCATCCTCTTTAGCGATGTTACTTTTAGGAAGGATCATTATTCATATCAAATATTCCTGCCTAACGTTACTCGTCTTTTTATCCTTTAAGTTTTACTTGGTAACAAGCTCTTATCAGTGCTAAATCAATACAACAGTTACTACTAACAGGTAGGAGGTGATGATAGATGGATGTTTAGTTGAAGTTTTCATTGCGATGCCAAGTCGAGGTCGACGACATCATCGTTATTATCCAACGAGATTTCGAAGACCAATCCAACCACCACGTACCATGATTTGTCTTCTAATTTGCATAACATACCTTTGAAGCTTAAAACTTTCCTCATGTTTGTTTATTCTTGGCCAATAATTGTTTACCGTACACAAACGAAAAGGTATAATAGCGTATCATTAACTTTGTGAATGGTAAAAATAACTCAAAACTTCACATTGGCCTCAGCTTCGGGACGTTTTGCGCTATTTCCTTTATATTGTTGCAGTATAATTCTGATGCTTCACGTAACGAAAGACGTGGAATAAATAGAACAGATTTGCATAGAATAAGTTATTTTATGATTTTTTCAAACTGGACAGGAACATTCCACATATATTTCTTCTATCTCCTCCCGCTACTCCCACAACTTTTAGGATTTGCAGCAAAAAAAAAGCTAAAAAATCCATAAAAGGACGCCGAACCTTGTGAAAGCGGTACGAAGACGCGGTAAATATTACCGTTTGCCCCTGCTACTGCACCCTATCACATATTATTGTATATGGAGAGAGAAAAAAAGGGACAGAGAAAACATGCAATTGATCTTTGGTCAATTAGCAAATACATTTTTGTAGATGGACAAAAGATAGTCAAAAGAGAAAATAGTACAGAAAGAAAGGATAGAATGAAAAATGAAAATTAGAAAGAATACTCAAACAGAAAAGAGAGTAAAAAGGACTATAAATGTGAAAATGTAATTGATGGAAAAGTTGAGAAAATATTCAGAGAGTTAGAGATGGTAATGATAATGATGTTTACGAATTAATGGACCGCCTGTCACCAAGAGTGAGGAAGAATACAAATGCCAATGATTCATATTACTTAATTCATTCATGAATTATCGCCGAGAGAATAAGCTTGTTCCCGATTGGACGTGAAATGTTAGCTGAAATTGTTATTTGTTGATATTTTGCAGCTCCAATAACGCTAGCACTTTTGTAGAATCTTTTTTTTTTTCTCATCAGATTAGAAGGATGATAGTAGTTGAACATGTCTTATGTGAAGATTAGGTGTAAGATTTATGTTAACTTATCTTCGACAACTTTTTAGAAGTATGCTAGAAAAGGTAAATGAGTTATTGTATAGCGTTTAAAAAAAATAAAAAAACTAAAATAAAGAAACGAGGAACGTTGCATGCATAAAAAGTACTGTTTGATCGCAATGGGATTCGAATCTTTAATTGAATATAATTGATTATCCGGAGTATCGATTTTTCCGGTTGAAATAATCAACAATAGCTTCGGCTTTGAAGCTAACAAATGTTGTAAATATTAGCTCAATTATTTTACATTTATCGTTTATCATTGCCTTAAAGTTAACTGCTAACCGAAATTGTGTATTAAATCAATTGGCTTAACATTTTTTCTAATCTTTCCCAATCATATTGAATGATGTTTCTTTAAGCTATTCTGATCGCAAACAAGAATAAATCGTTGACGATTAATTATATTCTGAAATTTATCGACTTTAAAGGTTAGCATAATTTGATTAACACAGCGCTATCCGGATATCATCTAATCTACTTAATTTATTAAAAGAAAAAAAAAAGAAAAAGGAAGAAAGAAAACAATTATGATGATTAAATATATCAAAAATAGTTGAATAAATCTGTGTTCTACTTTTCATCCCGATAAAACGACCGTTTTCCATTGAATGCCATGTTTCAATTAATTAAATGTAATATTGAAATGTTTTGAAATAAATAAACATCAATCAATAATGTAGCAGTACGTGTGATTATTATTGTCCGAAATGTATGAACTTATTTAGCGAATATTTTTCCTGAATTAGAAAAAGAAAATCCCATTTCCGAATTATATTCTTTCATCTTGAATGCTACTGACACGTATATATATATATGTATATATATATATATATATAGAATTTATGTACAACGTGCATGATTTCACAATTTATCTTGTCGCTAATTAAATATTTCACAAATGTGATGATGATTGCTTTTTTCTCACTGTTTGCAGTAATCAGAAATAATGTCAGTGAATACATCAAGCACACCGGATGGACGTGGAGTATTAATTTATAATGGAGAAATGTTTGTTTTCATACCTTTATTTATGTAGGAACAAGCAAGACATACATATTTATAACATTTTCATTCTGCTTTAAGCATAAAAAATGAATTTTATAAGATGAAAATGATATGAAAATAATTAGGAATTTATCTTTGATCTTTCTTTTGTCTATGTTTTGTTTGATAATTCATCTGCTTGTTTGAAGGATATTGGTTTATACTGAGGAAGTGAGCTGCCATTTTGATAATGGACCGGATAACATTTTCAGAGGAAATAAATCCGGAAATTTATACCTAACTAGCCATCGTGTAAGATTTTTAATTTCTTCCTTTTTCTCATCTTCCTCCCTTTAATCTTTGCCAAGTTTATCTATGAATCTATTGCTTTAGGTCATTTTCATTAATCGGAAAAATGATTCGCTACGTTCATTTTCGATGCCATTCCATTGCATGAAAGATGTGAAGCTTGAACAACCAGTTTTTGGATCTAATTTTTTGAAGGGCATTGCTATAGCTCAGCCTGGTGGTGAGTACTTTGTAAATTTTAGGCTTCATCTTTAATCTACAAGTTTGACGTAGGAATCATTTTCTCAAACATTATTTACCACAATCTTCTCGATTTATTGTAATAATTCTTAACGATAAAACGAATTCATTTTAGGTAATTGGAGTGGACAGGTGACTTGGAAATTAACATTCACCAAAGGAGGATGTATTGATTTTGGAATGGCATTGTTAAAGGCTGTGGACATGGGTTTGCTTATTGTTTATTATTTAGAAGCAAAACATAACTTTTTGTTTCTCGAATGACAAAAAACTCTCAGACTTATTTATCATTTGCAGCGCAACGCTTTCGTCCATACGGTTCACCACCAGCTTATGCTCCACCACCTGGAAATTATTTTGCTGCACCACCAGCATATTATATACCTCCGGGAGGAAATTATAATGGTTTCCAGGCTCCAACGAATACTTTCCCCAATCATCCACCAGGTATTATTTTTTGGGTGTTATAATATTTTATTTTTCCACTATAGCAAGAAATTTTTGGCAAAAATTATGAGAGAATGAAATTGTTACAGTTTTCATGATTGTAATTCTTTCCTCTAGTATGAAATGTTTTAGATAGCAATCTATTATTTTCATTCAATTTTTGAAACTTATTTAATAAATCAATATTCTTCATTTCATTTATCAGATTTTTGTTGTTTAGCTGGTGATGTTTATATGTACGAAGCACCACCACCATATTCTGGTATCGGTCCAGATCCCTCACCGATACCAGCAGGACAGTTACAAGGCTATGGGGTTGCACCAACCGCTCCGTCACAGCAGCAGATGCAAGCACCACCGCTTCCTACTAAAAGTTAGACAGTTACTAACTGTTCCAGTCGAACACGACATCTTATATTCTAATTATTTCATCCTTTATTCATCATTTATTTTCAATTCATTTCCTTATTTTGATCATGCATCATATCGTAAATGTACTGTATTACTCCGGATTTTTTATTACTTTTTTTTTCCAGGTGAAGATTTTCTCAACATTCTTTTTGACATTATGTATTTTCCACATAATATCTTTACGTGAAATTACTTTTTTTATAATCCATAACTTTTAAATCCACTTTTTTGACTTCATCAATAGTTCTTTTGTCATTCCATAATATCCATACGTTCTGATGTATGTAATAATGCTGATTTGTACTTAATCTAACTTTATCATGAATTGCTTCTCTCTCTCTCTCTATATATATATATATAATAAACATTAAAATTTGAAATTTGGGCTTTTATTGCTGTTACAGGTTTATGCCATGGTTTCTCCTTATTTTTGTGTTTTTCGGTTTAATTATAATTATGTTTGAAGAATGATAGTAGAACTGTTTTACAGGCTGCAATTTTTATAAGTATCTAAGGTGATCTTTACTTAGTCGCAAATAAATCTGCTGGTTGGAAATATTTCTGGTCGTAATTTTTGGGTGATTTTAGGTCTTTTCAGTATAATTGTCAACCTTTCACCTCTTGTGCAACATTTTTACGAACGACATTCACTGTCTGGTTTCAAATTTTAACTATTTTGTTTTTCGTTTTTACATTCGTGAAATGTTCCATTAAATTATTTGAGTGAGTGTCGCAACCATTTCAGACACAATTGTAGCAATGCATCCAATGTCTATGTCGTTTGGTAACGACCAACAGGAGGCAGTTGCAACTGATGGAAATTTCATTGCTAATAATGATATTATTATTTCTGATTTTGATCAGGTTCGATTGTTTATATTTTTGATGATGAAATTTTAAACAAACTTTTTCATTGTAAAAGTGATGCAAAGTATAAGCTGTATTGCTTAGATTGATAATGTGGGATAAATATATTGCGAAAATTAGATCTAATAAAGTTTCCACAAAATAGTGAGATGACGAATTTTATTTTGTTTTATTAAATTTTTTTTTTTGTTCTATGATAGTCCAAAATTATTGATTCGAAAATGTTGAATCAATAATTTTGGGCTAGCATAAAACGATGACCAGATGATTGTCATGTCTGCTTATATTAGAAACAATCGTTAAGCCAAGCATTCCTTTATAATCATGCATCATATGCGATATATATTTGTTACATAAATTGCTAAAAGTTTCTTTTTTAATTATAATTTTTGATAGGTGAAAAGGGATGTGAACTTATGGGGGGAAAGCATTCAGAACAATATTTCAGACTTGCCAAAACGGTATTCTTAATAATGCAATAACGGTTGAAGGAAATAAATTGAACGAAACAAACAATTATCAAGCGGTTTATTCAGGTTTTGTATCTTTTGCTGTAATCTTATCACTATTAATTACCACAATTTTATTCCTGATGGAAGTCATTAACCTTATATTACTTAGCCTGGCATAGTTTCTTTTAAAATATGAACTTATATGATTGACATGATCTTGCCTCTTACAAGGGTAATCTATTCTGTAGTTTATTCGCATTCTGGGATGTTTCACGTTATTTTTTTCGTACGAAAGTAATTTCAGCGAATTATTAGTTATGTAATTAAGTAAAGATTTTAGTGCCAATTCAGTCCTGTTAATGACAGGTATTATTATCATACTAAAATATAGATGGGATTGAAGAAATGAGCTTCTTAAGACCATTCCTGCAAACATTCCTTTTCACCAATCATTATTATTCTCCACTGATTTCACTGATATTTTTCAAATTCTGGTCTATTTTATGAAATTACTCTACTAATGCCCAGAATTCTCATTTTAATCGAGCCTCCCTAAAGTAAAGCCTATCAATAAAGAATGGAAAGTATGCTTGCCACGATACGGAGTGAGAAATTCATATCAAAAATGTTATTTTTCCAGAATATCAATCTTCAATTGGAAGTTCGGTAGGCATGACAACACCAACTCTTCCACCTGCTTCTACACCAGTTTCTTACCAACAATTAAATCAGGCTTATTTTAATATTCATCAGAAGCATCAAGTGCTTGTTTAAAGCACTAAATTGTTATAACATTTTGACCATTTCCATCCATAAATCGAGTTTCTTTAATTGTCACATTTTGTTGAATGATTGTTTAAGAAGCATTTTCATTGAATATGTTTGGCAAAATAATAGATCTTGGACAGTAGACATTGAATCACTTAACGCTTATTATATTTTCGGATACTTTTAGATGTCACCGCAACAAACGATTGCACCAGCGAATCAATTCGATCATATCACAGTTATGACAAATTTGCAACAGCCGTCTGATTTATATACTGGTATGCCCGAGATCCCTGTGTCTTCAGTTTCTAATGGTTAGTGTGAAGTATCCTGGCGACTTTATTTCTGCTGATTTCTGTGTTGTATTCAAATTTTGTAGTGAATTTAATATATCGCCTTTTTTTAGGAGTAACTTATACGGTTCCTAATTCAACAAATAATACGGCACTTCAAATTTATCCTCCGTCGGCAATAACGCAGCAAGTGCAGCAATCGATTCCAGCACTGAATGCAATGCCTCAAACAGTAATGCAGAATCGACCAGATTACAATAGCATACAACGTTTACAAACCTCTCGTGCCAGTAATAATCGCACGAAAACGTACATATATATTTCATTTTTAACTATCAAGATCAACTAATGCTGCGCACATGTTGACTGTTCATTTCGTTGTTTATTATGTAATTTGTATCCTCAGGACGACATATCCATCCATATTACCAGTAACTGGACGTGGTTCCAACCGGCAGTTTGCTAATATATCGGTTGTTAATGATGATGGACCAACTGTACGACAACATTTACAACAGCAACACAGAGCTCGTCTACAACAACAATTAGCCATGCAAGAAAAAGCGAAAATGGATAAGGTTGTTTTGATTTTTGACAGTAAATCAATAAATCTGATTATTTAGTGATGATGATATCATTCCCAGATTCTTCTATGAGCAACAAAACGAACATGACATTTCATATGTCTTATAAAAAAGATTCAGCGTACCAAACATTAATCTCTTTTGTTTAATATATCTGCTAGTTTATTTTCCAGTAGGCTGAACTTTTCAAGTTTTGGTATAGTTTGCCAAAATCATGTACACGATTTTGTTAAGATTTCAAATTTTGCTATAGAATTTTTTACTATAAACCTCCTCGTTCATCTTTTTTTTAATTATTCATTTTTATCTGCTTAGGACGATTTAATGACCGAATATTCGGGTATGTTATCACCCGCTGTCGATAAGATGTTACCGGTATCAACTACCATGAATTTATCAGCACCGGGTTCAACGAATATGCTCGTCTCAGCACCGATGAATGTACCTGCAGCACCATCAATGAATGTACCTGCCTCGTCATCTACAAATGTACCTGTTTCACCGTCGATGAATATACCTCCGTCGTCCTCCATGAATATTTCGCGTGTTTCACAGATGCCACGACAGTACATTCCTCGTTTGCCTCCTCAGAAACCACGAATTATAGCAGATCGTGTTCGACGAATGCCGATGTATGATAACAATGGTGCTGTTATATCGTTTATTCTATAATTATTATTGCAATCAAATGTTTGGATCCTTAAATTTTTAGAGCTTAGATTGGTATACTTCTACATAAATTTTAAGAGCTTGTGAGAAATATATTTCTAAAGCTGTTTTCAAATTGATTTAAACATTATTGTCCTGATGTAATGTTGCTAAATCATTTTTTTTGCCCAAGTAATATCCATTATTTACTACAAATTGATAAGATTAATTGTTAAATTCATTAATTTTAAATGCTTACGACCTTCTTTCCTAGCATATCAACCAGCACAATCATTTTGCCCACAGAAGCAACGTTCTGCTGAAATTCATGAGGAAGCCATTCAGCGCGCGGCTGCTGTTTACAATCACATCAAAGGGCAAAAGTATCCTCCAGCCGTTGTTAATCTTCCCCAGGTTTTTTTTTCCAAAAATTTAGTAATCTGATGATTACGATTAAATTTGCCAATAACTTTATAATATTTTTTCGGTTATATCTTGAAAAATTTTGTTGTGTTATGAAGTAAAGGGTTAATGAGAGTGTTAATTTAGCCTAGAAATGTGGCATTTCCTCGATCTCCCGCTGCAACAGCTATTGCGGAGACATCTGTTGAAACTGCCCAAAAGAAATCAGCAGCAAAAAAAAGGTATGGTGTCATTACAATTTCATTTTTTTGTTTTAACTGGTTTAGGAAAATTAATGTAAGCATTCACGTGAAGAAATGGGAGTGCGACATTTTCTGTGGCATTCATGTCTTGTATGAAAGAAGCAAGAAAAAAGTCTATTGTATTATCATTTTACATACTTTTGCGATGTTTTAACATTCCATGGCATCAGAAATTTCCAGTTTTCTTTAGCTAAATTAACAGCTATAATATTTTTAATCGTAAATTCCGAGTGCGGTATTAGCACAATTGATGATTAGAAACTACAATACAATGATTAATATTAGTGTTTGAGATGGTAGCTTTTGCTGAATTGTACGACGTTTCTTTATTTTATAATATGGAACTGTGTGACGAAATAAAATGAAAACAACATAAGAATATACAGAAATGCAACAAATTTTTTTTTTGTTTTATTTTAAAATATTGTATATGTTGCCCATGATTTGATTGTTTTTCCAGTAAATTACAAAAAAAAAAAATCCATGGATTCTATTCTAAATTATTTACATCTGCTAGTTGTTGTGAACATGTTAAAGAATTTTAAATAAATATTTTTTTTAATATTTTCTGCTTTGTTTTTTATTGATCAGAAAGAAAAAAATGTTTGTTGGAAATTTTTTCTACGTACTTACCATTATCTTCGTTATTTTCCAAACATTCCACATTACGAGTTGATTCCGCTTTTGATCCGTAAAAGTTATGGTTTGCTTTTAAATTCATTTCATTGATTTCTAGAAACCATTCGACGATGTCAGCTTCACAGGTCCGTGTTACTGTACTTGGGACACAATCAGAACCAGCCACACAACAAATTATCACAGAAAGTGACCACGTCTTGCCGATTCATGGAATTGCTGGTCTTCCGAAACAGGTCATTATTATCACGAGTGTTTTTAAAGAAGTAGTAAATGGCATTTCTATTATGACTTGTGCAGAATAAGACGCTTATATTATTCTGCTGAATCATCACGTAACATTTAAACAGTTCACACTGCTAATTCTAGTCTCGTATCAAAATGACTGATATGGGATCTGGAAAAGATGGTGTTTCTCGCACCGGAGAGGGAAAACCACCTTGGCAGTTCGTTCGCACAGCTAACAATGGTGTCAGCATCGGTACATCGCAGGTAAGTACAGTTTAGAATATTTAATATATTTGTTACCTTAATAAGATTCAAGCAAATTTGTGCGTTAATGTTATATAGTTTTCTCTTTTATCTTTCTTAATCTAGGGCTAAGCAGTATTATGCTATCAACCTTTGATTGCAATTAAATTATATATCATTGTATATTAAGAGCAAATTGTTGAATTTACAAAAAATGAAATTACTTTGTTATTTCATTATTTAAAATAAGGAATTTCTTCATCCCAGACAATAGAAGACTGCTCGAAGAATAATATCGGAATAGATCCTTCCAATACGCAGAAACCATTCTCCGTTCAGATCAGTAATAATAATTTCCCTTTGCCAATTGCCGAGCAACTTCTTACGGAAACAATGCCTTCGTCTGCCAATTGTCCAGAACTGGGCATGATGTCTGATCCATCTGATTTGGTCACAGCTCCACCTATTATTACTGGTTAATAATTTGTACACTTAATTCGGAAAAAATAACTGGCAAAAATGCTTTCAGTTTTCTTTTTTCGAAAAAGATTTAAAGAATTGGTTTAAGAGCAGGATCAGGAAAATCAGTAATTTCCTAATCAGTATATGCAATAGTACTTTGTGTTTATTTACTACTATCAAATGCTTTTTTTTCTCTTTGAATGTTATGATTTTTTCCTGAAATTGTATGGCACAGTAACTGAATGTAATATAATATAGGAAATGGTAGTCAACTCTCTGAATCAATACGTGAAGTAATGGCACAGGTTGATGATGACGTGTTAAACTACACACGTGAGGCGCAGTATGTTCGCAAACTATACTTTATGAAGCGACTGGTTGAATCGCTTGTTATTGTATGCTATTTAAAGTTTCTAAAAATAGAATTTGTATTAAGCGATATATTTCCAGTTAAGGTGAATTTTAAAAAATCCTTAAGATTCTGTTACTAATTTTTGTTGCATAGAAAAACGGCGCACTGTGTGACGAAGTATCACGTTTGAATCAACGCATTCGAACAGTAGTGGAAGAAAGAAGGTAAGGACTTTTTCTCAATTAAATTTGAGACTTTATAATCAAAATAAGGGACTTGGGAAAGATAGAATAAATAACAAAGAAATTAACCTTATTTATTTTCGAGCATCCATTGCAAGTGTGATATCAAAGCTACTAGAACAACCAAAGTTGTATTTTGCAGAGTTCTGGCAAAACGATTGCAGCATCATGAACGTAATCGAATTCGCAGAATTCAAACCAAGTTAAAAAAGGTATCATTTAGATATCTATTTTTTGTTTTATTTGATTTCCAAATAGGATTCATATTTCGAAGATTTCTTGTAGCAAGCAGCCGCTCGAGCTGCAAAAACGAATGAACCGCAAGTAATCATCGTGTCAGCAGCGGGTGGAACAGAAGGAAGCCTACCACCTGGTGATATTGAAGCATATGAAAGTGACGATTCTGATAAGACAATTGTTTCTAGCTGCGCGGCTTCCCCCAATACGAGCGCATCAGTAAGTTTTCTATAGACCTTTGTTATGCAATTGGAAACAATTTTCAAGTCTCTTTCATAGGATTTGAAAGTTGAAAATGTTGAAGGCTTTCTGAATATTTATTTGTAATTCTGGTATTTTAGATAATTGGAAATTATTATAAAATTTTGGCAATTTAGTGAAGAAGAATAGCTATTTCCAGATGTCTCGTGTTGAAACGCCGGAACCAACTTCACGCAATCAAGAATTCATATCGAAAATGATGCTCGTCGATACTGTTGTTCAGGAAGGTGGAAAATTCAAAATGAAAAGCGGTATGCGTCGTCAACTTTCAACTAAACGTTCTCTTATTGATCGCAAAGAAAAAAAAGATTTCAACAAATTAAGATTATAGTCTATATTGCCTGTGATAATTAGGTACAACGTTTTAATAGTAATTATAGTTGGTGATATTTTAATAACTTTTTCATTAACTAATTTTCAAGTTTCTTTTTTAATTTATATGCTGCTATGGTTATATCTTAGTAGTAAAGCTGTGAATAGTAGTCGAATTTATAACATTTAGTATGAATGCATTAGTGCTATATTATTCTTATTTGTGACCTCATCTTTTTTTTCTTTCCAGTTCCTTAACACTATATGTCTTTAAATGATTGCACACCTATGATATTGATTCGGTCAAATATTTTTATCCTATCACCCGGCCATTACTTTGATTAAATATCAATATTGAAATTATATCTGATATAATTATTAAATCTTTTGTATGCTGTTTTATTCGCTTTGCAGACATTTTTGCATTGATTGTCTTGTAGTGTAACACATTTGTAATTGATATTATCACCTAATGGGTGATTTTACTTGACTAGATATTTTGCATTTATAAAACTCATATTATTTAATGTTTATTGATGATTTTCAAAAATTTTATATATGATGTACTGGTGCACTGTCGTTTTTCACTCCTCAATTAACTAGCCATGATCTCAGGATTTTATTCCATCCTTTTACATTGTTCATCTATAAAGCATAAAATATTTAACACGTTGCTCACAGCTAATGTGATATCTTCACCATTTGTGAAATTCTCGTTGTAAATATGGTGGATTTTTTAATGAGAGGAATAAATTTTCGCTGGTAAACAGTAATCAATGTGATAAAGTGATGGATGATGTATTATGGTTCTATCAAAGGTAACAATTGTAAATGTGGTACAAATTGTTTTGAATATAGTTTCTTGCAAAAATTACTGAAATTAATCCAATTAGCACGAAGAAAAAAGCAAAGCAATACAAGCCAGAAGTAATTCATAAATATTGTTTTTGTTATCACGGGTATAAAATGTTTGAAAATTATTAGAGTTTTCTTGGAGTTACCATTTTCAAGCTAAATTAACATGTGATTTGGTCTGTTTGCTCTGATTTGAAACTATATTTCGTGAACAAAATTATCAATCTGCGCTTGTTAAGGGATAGGTATAGTCAGTGATACAGTAATAAATAGATTTTTTTTTCTTTTGCTCAAGAGAACAATTATATTTTCTGGAAACAAAAGAAAAGATCAAATTTGTTTTTTTTTTTCATTTGTATAAGAATAATACTTTCAAATTTTTAGATTTTACTATAAGGTCATTTTCTCGTTCATTTTATCAAAATTCAGTCCATTGTTATGTATCATTTTGCTTTAAAATTTCAGTGGATTCTCGGAACAAAACTATTTTTTGAAAAAGAAGTTCATTCACCTTCCATCGCATCATGCATTCGTTTGCCAACTCGTGCCACATAAACTTGCCTTTTGCTTGCACTGATGAAATCTGTTGTTGCTTTTTTGCTACCTCCAATCCTGAAATTTATATTAAAATATTCAAATTTTTATAAAAAACCCTTTATGAGTGAAATTCAACTTTGATTTTGGAAAAATAATTGATTTTATAATGTTAAATAAGTCGTAGTGAAGAAATTTCGTTGTATATTCTGAATTTTATTTTTCTTCTCTGTAAAAACGTTGGAAAAAAAACATGCTTGGAATTGAAATTTCTTTGCTTCTTCACCCAACACTATTCCAACACTAACTTTTTTTTTTCATATTATCAAATTCAACGGCCAACATACTAAATATATTACATACATAAATTGATTATTAAGTTTGAATTTCATTCCAAAATAAAATGCCGTATTTTATTATTTTAAAATAATTATATGTTGAAACTTATAAACTTCATTTTCTTATCTATTTTAGGCAACGATTTGTACTTTAAGGAAATTTTTTCTTTGTAATTAAATATTTTAAAGTTAAAATAGTAAAAATCATTAATTACTAACATTCTCTCTGTATTGGTAATAATTTTTGGTAAATTATCGTCACTGTTCTCATACATATAATTATAAGGCCTTAATATGTATGGCGGATTTTTTCCTTTTCCATCCAGTACAAAATAAGCTGAAATATACTTTCACTGTAGCCTTTTTTTAATCAATATTGTATGGTATAATGTTCCATACAAACATTTCAATTAAATCCTTTTGAAAAATATAACTATTTTAAAATTTGAAAAACATAACTATTTTAGAAATGTAACTATTTTTTTTAGAAAAAAGATTATTTTGGAAGAATTGATTGGTAATGCCAACATTTCTTTATTGAGTTTATTACACAAAATTATCATACCACAATTATTATTAAAATTTTCCTGAAAGATTTCTAAAAAAAAAGTTTTAAATTTTCTAATGAATATAGAAATTCAAATAATCTTCCAACAAAAATGTTAGAAATGTGCAAAGAATAATTTTAATTTTTAAAATATTCCAATATATGTGCAAGAATACAAACAAGATTAATATCCATATTTTTTTTTCTGTGATATCTTTGTATCAAAATATACTGGAATGTATTCACTGTTATACAATAAATAACGATCATTTAAAGAACATTTAAGTTATAACTTATTTAAATTTAATTAGTAACAATAAGTAAATAAAGTTACGAAATAAATAATGATTACCGTTGCACACGATAGATAATGTACCCAAAAATAAAATGACAGCTATCATCATTGTTATTGCCTTCATCAAAATATTTAGCAGGATAGAAATTTTTTTCAATGAACATTTTGGACTGGCTGAATGTGTCCTTTTATAACATTCTGTCCTGTCATTTGCGTAACGGAAAATATTTGAGCCTTTAATTACAGCAGCTCAATTTCAGGAACTTTTTAATGACATTGATCCAGTCATGAAGTATCTGTGAAGTTGGAGCTAAGATTACTTATCTTTATATTTTATATTGACAAAAACTGAATAATCATCTAACTTTATTAATTTTATCCAATTTTTAAATAATACGTTTTAAATTTCTAGAAATTTAAAATCTAAAATATTGAGAAGTTAATCCCCAAAGATTTGCGTTTGATCTATATCATAGTTTCATATGATCGATAATGCTATATCATAGCTCTATATGATCCATGATGCTTAAGCTTTTCTGGAATTATCACTTGATGAATGACAGCAAATATAGTGCATCGACCACAAATCTGGCAAGTTTCTTGAGAGAATATCATCTGTTCCCCTGCATCTAGGCTTGTCTTTCTTTTCAGTATGAAAATTGAATCATTAACACCGATTCCAAGATAACGACCTGAATAATTGAAACAAATTATGCTGTCATCCCGAAAACAACTTACTTTATCGTCAATTTCTGGATGATCAAAGCTTAAAAATCACAGTCCCACCATAGCTGCACTGCAAACTGAACTAGACTCTGTCGCAAGGATCGCATGAAAATTCAAATTAAATTGAAAAAGCTCTGTATTTTTGATCTTGAGAGCTATTTTATCTGAAAACTAAACTTACAAATACCCGACTCAATAGGTAATCATCACATATACCAAGCATTTTATCTACAATCAGTAGTACCATACAGTGATGCTAAATACAACAAATACTAACATGAACATAATTCAACATAATAAAAGCGTAAATGAATCGATGTAAAATGGAAAATTACGAATTCAATGGGCAAATATTGACTAGTAATGACCAATTCAGTTCATATAAGAATAAATTATTTTACAATCGATTTCGAAAATAAATATGAGACATATGTGTTAAGAATAAATATACAAGATTAATATTAGACTCGATAATTACTACTGGAAAACGACATTTTGAAATAAATATACAACTTACTTCCTCAATGTCAGCATTTTTGTTATATACTGTTCTAAACATTATTGCTTTAGATACAAACAATGACAACAATTTTTAATGTTCTGAAATGTATGCATTACTACGGTGCATTGAAATTTGTAATGAAACTTCTACCTTAATTCTCTCTCATATAGTTATTAAAAACAATGCACGCTATAAACAGATATTTAAGCAAATATTATGCATTAATGGTAAATGGAGGAAGTAAGTTTGCCTGTACCATCCAAATCATTTTGTATAAATGAATTTTTACTTTACTGTTTTTAAATTTTAGTATTCTCAACAGTTATGAAGTAATGTTATTTCAATTTTATCAAAATGTTCTCTAAATTTTTTATTCCAGTGGCATTTTCCATAAAATGATGTTGAAATAACCTTTAATAATATACTGTTTAAAAACAACATGTCTTTTTAATAAGTGCATTTTGGAGAGAATTGCTAAAATATCAATCGCAAAAAATTTCAACTCCTGCTTCCGTCAGGTTTCGTCAAGGACATCAAATAATTATTCAGTTCACAACATTCGATAACATCCGGAATTATCCATGTGTCACTTCCATCAAGTTGTAATGGATAACGACAGAGCGGACACCAGTCCTTCTCCATTGCTTTCCACTGTTCGACACATATCGAGCAGAAACTATGAACACACGGCAATACTACATCTGATTGACGTTCCATACATATTATACATTCGATCGTGTTAAGAGCCCTGAAAACATTTATGCAAAAAAAAAAAGTTATCCTTATATGTGACTATTACTTATCTAAAACATTATGGTTTTCCGCTAAAAAATATATTTTCTGCTATATATTTTTCTAAATCCATCTTCCAGTCGTGGTACGATCTCGAAATGACACTAATTAAATAAATAATATCAATATTACCGTCTAAATCAAAAAATTTGATAACTGGAAAATGATTTCACCTGTCTATACATGCATCAAGAACGTGTCCTTGAAATAGTGTTCCGTCTGTCTTATCTACAGCACCTTTCAGCAGATAATATAGTGATTTCTGAAGCCTTAGGAATTGTTCAAATGAGAATATACGGTAGGAATCCGCCGATCTTGCATTAATCTAAATCTAATGAACTGGAATTAATTAAAGTGAATTATGACGTTTAGGTTGTTCCATTAGTGCAAAAATTTTAACTTCAACTCATCATAATAATTCTTTTGTAAACAATCATGATGTGGTGGTATCTGCATAATATGGCATTAACTATTACAGATATTTGAAATTATACAAAAGTCAAACTGAACCATTATTAGTTTGATTCCTAAAATTTATGTATGATCGGTTTGCTAATTATAACTCAAAGATGCATATGATGGATAAACTTAAGAATGATGTACCGGAACATAACTTTCTAGCCTATTACATTCTAGCAACTGAAATAAAAAAAGTCGGTGAGAGAGGGTAGAGAAAAATAACAAACGATTACTTTCAAAGTGCATATCCTAACAGTCACTTTCCAAAGCACAGTATTAGCAGTGCCTTTTTTGATTGCAAACAATAAATGCCTTCCATCTGAGTCAACAAAATTTGCACATCTGAAAAAAATTTAAGCCCTTTAAAAATCACTTTTTTTTCATTAATCATCGATCATAAGAAAATTGTTACATAACATGTATGGATATTAACATTTTAATGATGATATCCAGTTGGCTGCCTTATTTAAATGTCCCGAAAGGGAGATGTACCATTAAAAAATGTATTGGAAAAATTTTAAATGAGACTAGACAAATTGAATTTCATTAAACGGTAACCCAAAAATCGCTGATACTGTGAACGTTTTTATATCTCTTAAATGATAAATTCACTTGTCATTGAGTTCGCAGATAAGCTTGACAAACTGCACCCATGTCATCGACAACATCTCAATAGTATTTTGAGATCTCCTCGATAATATACTTCGTTCTTGGCCCATCTTGCTAAAAATAACAGTTATTACTGTAATGACTATACAGGTAAGTGTTTATCCAAAAATAAACAAACATAAGCGTTTGTTCAATAACAGCACATATCACGATTATAAATCTCATATTTTAAAATAAAAATTTTAGAAAACGCCACGCCTCTTTGTTTTTCAATCTGAGTGAAAATGATTCATGCTAATGAACGTGAACTTAAAAATCCTTATGATTATATGATTTAAGAAATAAGCTTAATATTTATTCTAATCCAAAATAATAATAACTAAGTAGGAAATTGCTTACTCACCCATATATTACAAATCTTTCTTCCTTTTTTTTCTAACAACAAAGTACCAAAAATGCTTTTTTGACTGATCCATTTTTTCTCGGAAAACCTGGCTGCGAATTTGCTGTTATTGGTGATACCAATATTTTTGTTTTGAATTTTCCAATGTATAAAAAGTTCATTGTAGTCATTTTTTTGCTTTGAATTTGGATGAATAAGAAGAAATCGTTCGGATAGGTGTTATGTCGTAAGCAGTTCTGAATATCTGCATATTTTCAAGCGTTTCTTTAGCATTTCTATTTCTATATTTATTCGTTTGCTTTTGTATTTCAGGAATGAAATGTGTATGATCAATGAATGAAAGAGGCGAAAGTGTAAGTTATATTTTGAACAAAATAAATATAATAATGTTGAGGAAATTCGATGAATAACAAATGAAATTGAAAAAGAAGTTTAGTGGTTTCTGAATAGAATGAAAATAAATTTCGCACGTTAAATTGTCAAATTCAGGTTTCATGTCACATAGATTAAATCATAAATCATTTTATCATAACCATTTACTTTAAGAAAAAGTCAACAAATATTATTGTTGCATATACTGTTAGCAATGATATAATCCGTAATAAGCCCATTCTTTTACAAGGAATTCTGTAGTTTGAAGTGTTAAAATCAGTACACTAATGGTGCTAAAGAGAGAATTCATCTAGAGGAAGAATCACAATGGAGGAAATAAAAATTACAGATGAAAAATTGCTGTCGGGATTGAATACATTTTTCTCTATAAAATAGCATTTCACAGTCATTTTGTTTAGTTGTAATGCTACAAAATTATGAAAAAATCGCAGTTTCTTATATGAGATATAATAAACAAAATAAACGAATTTAATTTCTAGTTCAACAGAAGACATTATCTCTATGATGGAAGTCAATTAACGTCACGAGTGAAAAGACGACGATTCCGAAGTGAAAACAAAAAGATGGATATTGGAAATATTGATAGTGTTAGTAAATTTACTCTTTTGTGGTAGAAAAAAAGTTGTGTTATTTAGAGTTAGCTGCCTTTGAAAATTAGCTCAGTGATTAAGAACGAGAATTTCAATTTGTAATATTTTCTTTGTTCAGCCGTGTGGGTTTTTAAATGATAAAGTTTAATGCGAAAACGTAAAATTTAGGAGTTGGAAGGTTTGGAAACAAAATTTGAATTGAATGATGCTTTTATGGTTGATTTACTTGATAATCCACGATTGTCTAAAGTGACAAATAGCAAATTGAATAATGATATTGTGGCTGATTCAATACCAATGTTAAGAGAGATGGAGAAGCTGTTGAATACGAAGACCGGTAAAGAGGAAGCAAACCTTGCTTCCAGGTATCTTTTCTTTCCTTTGAAATTCTTGATACCATACTAACTGCCTGTTTTTTTAACCAGAATTTTGCTTTCTTATGTAATCTAATGGTTGGTCAGTAACACTTTTTTGGATTTGCTTTGCATTTTGAAAATTGTTTACGTCAAATAATCAGTCTGTACGGATATCGTGGATTGTTTTATATTTGATTTATTTTGTTGCAGACGTTTTCATGTGGAGTGGTTTCAGCATATTTATTTTTAATTTTGCTTCATACTTTAACTGATAACTGATAACTAGATTAAAGCAAACTACCAAGAAAAATGAGTTCCACTAATTTACATGTTGTGTAGCTATGTTATGTTTCAGTAGTGGTGACAGTATACAGGCTGCTTCAGATGAAGATTTTAGTTTTACTCATGCAAACATCCTTGACTCAAACATGTCTACTACATCGTGTAGTTTGTTTTTACAGGTGTGGATTGAAGATATCGTATGACCTTTGCGCTATCTTTTTATTTAAATTAAATTGTTTTGACTTTTTTTAACTCTCATTCGCTTCATACTTATTCCAGATAGTATTTATATAGGATGGTAAAAAAGCCGCCCTTGATCCTACGTTTTTTCTAAATTTTTTTCCAGATATTATTTCCATTTGTTCCTGCTGGTCTTGGAATGGTTTTTGCTGGATTTGTTCTTGATATTGTACAACACTGGAATCTGTTTACCGAAGTACGTTTTCAATCGCCTAATCTTCCTTGAACTAGATTTCTTTGATTTGCATTTCTGAATGTTTTCAGAATTGGTATTTATTTCACTGCCTTTTATAGGTACCTGAAACATTCATTTTGGTACCTGCATTACTCGGTTTAAAAGGAAATCTTGAAATGACATTTGCATCGAGATTATCAACATTGGTATGTTTATATCTGTCTTTTCTTCTTGGAAATTGGTGAGTTAAAAAAAACTTGCAAAAAGTCCATTAAGGTTTATAGATATTTCAACAATATGTAATCACATTACATTTATTAGGAAATGCGTTTCTCTCCCAGTAAGTGCTGAAACCAATGCTCTGAGTACTTACTGTAAATATGTCCTGCGGTATTCTTCTCTCACGTAATCGTCAGTGCTTCCTTTGTAGCTGAGTTTGGCAGTCGAGATTGAAAAGATTCATGATATGCTCAAATATATTTGTTTAATTGATCACTCACTGATTTCCTAGGTTAAATAGCACTTAAATATAAGATATAATGTAATATGTTCGAAACATAAGATATAATATGTTTGAAACAACTGTGTCAGGCAAACATGGGACGAATGAGCTCAAATCCGAAGAAGATTATTATTACAAACTTGGCTCTCATTCAAGTGCAAGCAATTGTTGTAGCATTTCTCGCTTCTGGCTTTGCTGTTACTCTTGCATGGATACCGAAGGGGCAGGTGATTCTGTTAATTTGAGAAAATGATCCCTGTGTAGGATACTGGTATCATTGAACTCTGATTCCACAAAACCAAAGTAGTTGATTAAACTTTTAGCAGTCTTTACGTGTAAATGCAGAAATTAATGGAGATGATTTATGCAGTAATTTAGTTAACTTACTTTCATTCGTATCAGTGGAATATATTGCTGGTAAATGGAGATGGATAAAGGATGGCAGTAGAACTAAAACAGGTGCCTACATTCTTTCTTACGAAAGTCTGATGAGGAAAAAACTGAGATCATTTATGTTTAGTTTCAGTTTATTTTTGTTTGAGACTGATGCTGGGTAAGAGAAAAAATGTGATTTTACTTTTGTCATCTTAAAAATACTTTATAAGGATGTTTTTTAAAAGCTTCCAGTGACTACCAAATGGTATGACATAGACGTTAGCTTTTATTGTTCGAAGTCAGTGTAAAAACATGTTTGTTTTTTCTTCAGTGGATGAACATTTCCAGATTGATTGGTCTCATGCTGCCGTATTGTGTGCAAGCAGTCTAACAACGGCATCATTGACATCATTAGTGCTCAGTACAGTGGTGATATGTGTCGTTTTAATTTCACGAACTTTCGCAATAAATCCTGATAATATTGCAACACCAATTGCTGCTTCATTGGGTGATCTTACCACTTTAGGAGCTCTATCATTATTGGGTAATTGTCTAATTCCAATTTAAGTAACATTAATTTATATTTCCTGCGATATGAATAGATTTACCTGCTTTTTTTCTTCAGTATTGATCATAAAATTATTTTTCATCTTTGGTTTAGTGCGATTTAGAATTGATAGTTTTACTTAATTCGGAGATGACAGATACGCTTCACGTCTTTATCCAGAACTTTAAATTTAAATAATTTAAATAACAAACTAGAGGTCGAAAGAGAGAAGGAAGCGAACGAGCAACTATTTTGCTCTGAATTTTATAAATGAATGACCCTTGATTTGTGAAAGATAAGGTGTTTGTTCAAAATAAAGAAGAGAAAGACATCCTGTGTTACAAGATTTTCACAATCATATTTATGGGGAGAAAAAGAGGAAGGACAACAAAAGTGGCTTGGAAGAAAATGGGAAGAATTGGAGAAAAGATGACTTAGTAGATAAAGCTCTTAAGCTCATTTGTATCACTTTCTTACTGTGCTACAACGGTTGCATCAAAGTTGTTGTGTTGTCCTTATGACTTTTTTATGTTGCATAAAAATTTGTGATTTTGACATCCAAGCGTTTTAACTAGCTAATTTTACTTGGTAGTTTTGATTTATTATAGATTTCTATTATTTTAATTTTGGTACAATGGAATATTATAGGTTCGATATTTCTTCATGCACATCTGGATGAGACTTGGCTTAATGTTGCTGTGGTCGTAACATTTATAATGGTAATACCGTTCTGGATTTACCTAGCACGAAAGGATAAAAGTACAACCGATGTGCTAGAGAATGGCTGGTCACCTATTATATTCAGCATGTTGATAAGTAGTGCTGGTGGTTTTATGCTGGAAAGCACCATCAAACGATTTCCTAAAATTGCGGTCTTCCAACCTGTTATAAATGGTAAGCTGGAATATTAAATTTACCTGAAACTTTTATGTTTGGGGTTTTTATTAACTCATTTCCTTTTCCCTCTCCATGGCTTGTAAGTAAAAGCACCTTTTTTATGTAATTTTGAAAGTCTTAGTAACCATTTTGTGCATAAAGAACTGCGTTCTGGGAATTTCTTTTTTTGCAGGAGTTGGAGGTAATCTTGCAGCTATTCAAGCTAGTCGTCTTGCTACGTTCTATCATCAACACTACTCATTTGGAACATTAAGAGAGACTTTATCAAGTTATTTCAGTTTTAAACGAGCATTCTTTTCTAATAGTAAGCATCTTTTCACCAGCTTTACTTTTTTTAAATGATATACTTTGTAAATACTAAAAATTTTGCCAATATTAGTATATGTAAGAGATTTTTACTGTCTCTTTGGTTATTTCTCATCTCCTTAAACAAAGAAAATGGTTTTTTTTTTTTCGTTTTTAGATCTAGACGCGCATTCAGCTCGTGTGTTATTGTTATTTGTGGTTCCTTGCCATATATTTTTCAATTGGATCATACAAATTTTACACAAAGGAAGTAGTCTGCCGTCTGGACCACTTTTTACTAGTATATATATTTGTGCAGCATTAGTGCAGGTTAAACAGTTAATTTTTCTGAAGTCTATCTTGTGAGCTTTGCTTATTTCGTTTCTGATAGTTATCGAATTAACTCCTGTCAGTTACTTTACTGCACAATTTTTAATTTACTAAAGTAGTCATGGGAAGATTTTATTCAAACCAGAATTTATGATATTTGCTTCAGATGGAGAAACAAGTTAGAAATACTTACTTTCATGGTCTTTGAAAGAGTAAGTGGAGAAACAAGTAGAAATTGAAAATGGATAATGAGCTTTCAGGTTCTGTTACTCCTTTATATGTGTCAATTACTCGTTGCCTTTTTATGGTCAATAGAAGTGGATCCAGATTGTGCTGCAATACCATATTTAACTGCCCTTGGTGATTTGTTTGGTACATTTTTACTATTTTTAATATTTGCTTCTCTTTCTTGGTTTGACAAAGGTCGAAATTTCTGATGATAAAATAACGGCAATTTCATTTCTGCAAAATCGCTTTACAGCGATTTCCTTTAACTAAAATTGAAAATTAGATTTTTGCGCTTTATTGTTGAAAATTAAATGTAAATTAATTTAAATTTTGGAAATCCGTTCTTCATTTGTTGGTGATTGTTTTCTTGTATATTTTGAGACTCTGATGTGCTAGAATTAATCAAGTTTATAAAATATTCATGTACGTTTGTAGGTGTACTTTTCTTCACAGGTTACTCCAAAGAGATTAGTTCAATTAGTGCCACACATGTGTTCATTTAACTTCGTTCTGCTTAGTGATAATGATGTCATTTTTATCCTATCAGTTCCTTTGCTAATAAACTGGTTTAATATTGTTTGTTCTTAATGATTAGGTCATTTTGTTGACTGTATTACTTTTTGTACCTCAGGAGCAAAAAGTATCAAGAATCAATGTTTCTCAGTCACATACTGGATGTAAAATTTAATAAGTGTAAGAAGTTTGAGAAGGTTGCATTTTTTATTTTTGAATATCGATGAAGAAGAAAAATTTATCAAATTTTGTTCTAATTTTGAGCGGGATTTCAGATCTTCCTTTCCCCAATTTATTCCTTACTCCAGTTTTGGTAATCAGATGTCGAAATTTTTGATTCTAACAAAATTACACATGTTTAGCGCATATGATGCAATGAAACTCTCTGTCATAATGAATTGAATAGAGTTTTCACGAGAAATAGGCATAACGACTCTGCTGTTCTTACATTGCGGGCAAGATCATTTTAATCTAGCGGACCGAGAAAACGTAATTTCATGGATTTTGTCCTCGTTTAAGTACATTAGATTTCTTACTAGAAATTCTTACTCTGGTGCTAGAATAGAATTTCTTACTAGAAATTCTTTCTTACCCTGGTGCGAGAATAGACTCACTGTTAACGTGCATAAGTGTCACAATTTTTCATTGTTACATGTTCGCTTTAAATGTAAACACTTACTATTTATTCGCATACCGTATGTTACTGTCAAAAGCATTTTATACAATTTATATATAAATATAGGTGGTACTAATAATTTAGTTCTAGTCATATATTAGGGTATAAGTCAAAATTTCCCAATTTTGCAGTACTCTTTAATATCGAGACATTTCTGCAGAAATATGCTGAGAAAAAGGTAATATACCAAAGATCAAAGATTTATAGCGTTTAGTAATGTTTCATTTGCATCCTTTTAGTAATTTCATGTATATGTATTAACAAAATTTATTTTTATCTCTGTTCGATTATAAAGTAAAACTTTATTAATTTGTTATGAGGCTAAATTTAGATTTAAATCTTAAGTATTCCGATAATAATAGCATTTTTTCAATAACATTTATTTGTAGCGAATCTGTTATGTTTCCATTTAGCAAGTCACATTATCATCTTTCTGGGTTTATATGTGGCATATAATTAGTTGAGATGATTCTTATCATTTCAACTAGGTATATTTTATACATTAAGCTATTTATCTTCCTATATAATATATATATATATATGGGGTACCAAAGATCAAATGTTTATACCGTTAGTAATGATTCATTTATACTGCTTTTCCATCACATCAACTTCCATATGGCGATATATGATCATCCGTTATCATTACAACCCCCTTCCCCTCTTCTTCCCCTTCGTCGTTATCAAATAATACTCTGTTTTTTTATTACTGTTCATACATTGCTTTTTTCTTTCTTTTTGTTTATTTAAACATTTTTCACTCCTTCTTCCTCTTTTTTAACAATGTATTTCACTTTTTTAATAGTGATTAAAGAATTCCCTTTTTTTAAATTTTAAAATGAAATAAAATGCTAAAATTTTACATCAGTTAATTGTTTTCTGATGTTTCCAATGATTTCCTAAAACATTTGCAAAATTACTAGTTTGGTTTGCTTTTTCCAGTTAGGTTTTGATAATTGATATTGTACGATTATCATCATTGATATTGTGAAGCATATGATTATTTACTCATACATCATACATGTGAATTATTTTGTTTGATGGTATTTTCTAAGTACATTATATGAATATGCCAGGAGTATAATTTCTTCTGAAATGAATGTTCCACGAATGTTGTTTGGTCGTGTTGGATTATCTTATTTCTCATTCATTCGTAAGTATTCCTCAACTCGACAACAATTCATCGCTTTAGTGAATGAGGAACTGAGTACCATTCAGGTTAACCTATTTTTATTTCTAGTATATCCTCATAACTGTTATCATTCCAGACATTAAATGATTGATACATTTAGTGATATCACTAAGTAACAGTGAAAATTTATAGGATGCTGGAACTTATAAGAATGAACGTGTTATCATTGGTCGACAAGGAATGGAAATCAAAATAAAGAATTATGATATGCCGATGTTAAATTTTTGTGCAAACAATTACCTTGGTGAATTATGTTTTTTTATTGGAAGATGATTGAATATTCATAATGGAAATCAATATAAGAAAGTGTTTGCTTGTTAAATGTGTTACTGCCGAATAGGCTAGCTTTTTACGAGATGTATTTCTCGTAAAATTCAGAACATTCCTTTTTCTGTCTTTTTGAAATTAAACTTTTGAAGGATTAAGTAGTCATCCAGAAGTGATCGAAGCTGGACGGATAGCAGTAGATACACATGGTGCTGGTATGAGTTCTGTGAGATTCATATGTGGAACACAGGATATACATCGAACTTTGGAACAGAAACTTGCTAAATTTCATGGCCGTGAGGATGCCATTTTGTATGCAGCTTGTTTTGATGCTAATGGAGGATTGTTTGAAGTGCTTACAAGTAAGTTAATTTTTTAGTAAATTTTTGTAAATTCTTTTAGTAATTTAATTTAAATTTAATAAATTTGTAGTATTTTAAACGAATTTGTTTGTCTTGAAAACCTAACATTTTATCGTCATTATTATTTGTTTATTTTTTATTGAGAAATCGGTTAGTATTAACATTTGGGAACATAATGAAATATGCTCCAGTTTGTAATATTTTGTATCTTGTGTGCAATTTTCAGAATTATAATTCATTAGATACTAATCACTGTATTTCGTCTTTAATTAGATATCTTTACTAGATGTGATAGTTTGATATTAGATATGACAAACTGATAAGTAACTTTGCTTAGATGCTATAGATGAATTGGTCAACACTATTTCATTGTTTTATTCCTTTTAATTCCAGGTTTTTGTAATTAGTGAGAATTTTTAGACGACCAGGATGCAGTCATTTCCGATGAACTCAATCATGCTTCCATTATTGATGGTATTCGACTGTGTAAAGCGAAACGTTTTCGTTACAAACACGTCGATTTAAATGATCTGGAAAAAATACTAAAAGAAACTCAAAGTAAATCAACTTTTTCATGCTAGAGAATATGATCACTGTTATTTTATTTTTCTATTCAGAAGAAAAGAAGAGAAAGTCACAATTCAAATTTGAAAAAAATTTGAAAACAAAATTTAGAAAAGTAGTGGTTTTTTTGAGAGATGTTATGAAGAAATGGTACCATTTCTTCATAACATCTCTTTTCTGGTTCAGAATTCTTTTTGTTTTTGGAATGTAAATTTCTATTTAAATCTTAACAGTGAATTTTGAAGATAACAGACGACGAGTAATTGCTACTGATGGCGTTTTCAGTATGGATGGTGATGTAGCGCCATTGAAGGAAATATGTGATCTTGCAGATCGATATAATGCACTCGTTTTCGTTGATGATTGCCATGCCACTGGTAGAGATGTATAATAATTTGTAGCTCAAATAATTTGCAGAAAAATTGAATTGGCAACAAATCTAAATTTGTTTGTAAATTTCAGGAAAATGACTTATCATTAGTGAAGTTTCAGGCAAAATAAAATATTCATTGAAAAGGTGAAAGTTTTCAAACAAAGTCAAAAAATGGGGGTTTTTTTCCAGGCTTCTTCGGACCAACCGGTCGTGGTACGGAAGAACATCTTGGCATTCAAGGCCGTATTGATATAATCAATTCTACACTGGGAAAAGCGTTAGGCGGTACTATGGGTGGCTATACTACGGGTCCTAAACCATTTATTGACCTGTTAAGGCAGCGCTCTCGGCCTTATTTGTTTTCGAATTCGCTGGCACCATTTGTTGTTGGCTCTTCCATCAAGGTATTCAGATTCTGGCGACGGTATTTTACATTTTCAAAAAACACTTTTTTGGCGTGTAAACATATTTAATATTAGGAAATTTTCTCCATTATCATAATTATGCTAGAGATCGATTTGACATGGCTGAATTATGCTATTATTCCATCCACGAAATATGGAATTAAAATGTCGAATTTTTGAGATTTTTTCTCATTACGGATGCTTCGCTTTCATTTATGAATTCATCACATCTTCATTGTAACCTACTCATTTACCTTGGAAATAATGAATATTTTACTTGTTATAAATAGTCGGATGGAAACTGAATTTTCTCATCATTTAGGTCCTTGATTTATTGACCAGTTCGTCAGAATTTACAAGTTCCTTGAAATCCAATATATCTCATTTCCGTAAATCGCTTACTGATGTTGGCTTCAACGTGATGGGCAATTCAGATCATCCGATCTGTCCAGTATTTCTGGGCGATGCTAGGTAATTTCATATTTTTAAAAATATTTTTATCACTTTTTGTTCCTATTCGTGCGTTGGCAGGAAAAAATTATGGAAATTTTAATTCATAAATTAATTTACGAACAGATTGGCCTCAACATTCGCCGATGAAATGCTTAAAGAAGGTATATATGTGATTGGATTTAGCTATCCTGTAGTACCTAAAGGCAAAGCAAGAATTCGTGTGCAGGTACTTTTTCAAAATTTGTTAAATATCAGACGCAAGGAAGAGAAGTGTAAAGGCGTCCTTTTTTTGTTTTCATTCTTTAAGTATAACGCATTCTTTTTTCTTCTGGCCGAAACACCATATGATTTAGGTTGATAGGACTGTAAGGGTCATAGTTTCTGATTAATTTGAAATTTTACATATCTGCTGTAAAAAAGGACTTAGATATTATTCCCAGAGACTGCTTTTTTCTTCCACTTCAAAAAGCATAAAATATAGATTTCTGCGGCTCATACAAAACAACAAATTGATCAGTGCATCAGCGCATTCAAGACGATCGGGAAGAAACTTGGTGTCATTTGAACGAACCCATCGGACAACAAAATACCCTCTTAATCTGTTTTATGTTTTATTTTATCCTTCAACTTTTATGTTCCAAAATTTCATTTGTTCTTTTATTATCTCTTATAAATTTCGTTTGTTCTTTGTTATATTCCAAACAATGTCGCTCCGCATATGGTTCATTAATATGTCTATTTCTATACCTCTATATTTAGAAAAAAAAACACATATTCATTTTCTGAAAATCTGTCTGAATCAAATGACTCAATAAAATGATCTCAAACTCAGGTTAAAATCGTTTTTAAAATAGTCCAGTGACTTGTCGGAAGAAACACTGATCAGCAGATAAAAATATTATGACCTGAGAGAATGCTAAATATCCAAATTGCAATTCGCTCCCTTTAGCAATAAATAACCTAAGAGTAAACGCGGTACGTTAAGGTTTCTTATTCATAATTCTTAAATAGTCCAGTGATTTGGTGGAAGAAATATTGGTCAACAGATAAAAGATGACGCAATTAGTCCTTTTCTGTAACTACTTTAGACACTTAGGTCTTTCTCAAATTTTATTTAATAGCAAATAAACATAAATAAATATAATACTAGAAAACATAATTAGATAACAAATTGAGATATGAACGAATCAGACGTATTGAGCATGACAGGTCTTATCATAATAGTACGTGAGTTTTCATTATTTTAGCTGTAATATCAAAAAATTTGAATACTGATTCCAAAAACTCGTACTATCTAATTAATCGAGTCTTCCATTGAGAGTAACAGTCCTTCTTATCAATTCTCGGAATATTAAATGGACCTCCTGAAAGAATATCTCATATGTTTTGTGTGAGGAAAAATTACAAGCAAAATTTATTTCTTATCATAGGACATAACAATTAACTTACCCTTTTAACCTTACCCAAGACAGAAGCATTTTCTTGTGCCCTGCGAGAAAGATAGGGCAAAACTTCATCGATCGGTCCGTAAGGTACATATTTATATACCGAATAACCAGCATTTCCTAGTGAACATGAAGTCTAAAATGTCCAATACTAGAAAAATGTTGCCAGATAGGCTCATTTTTCCTTTTATTAATATTTTATCATTTTTTAATACAGACTTTTAGAAGTTTTATTTTCAAGACAGGAAGGATAGCAAAATAGTCCGTTCTGAAGAACATCCGAAAAATCAAGGAATAATTATAAGAAAACAGTGTAATCATCATAATTACTTTGATTTATAATAATAATTTGAAGACTAGGAAGAATATAACTGGTACAATATAGAAGCAATATAATTAGTATAACCAATCTACCTGATCACACATTCCATAAAGCTGAGCAAAAGAGACGATTTCACTGGAAGGTGATATTTTAGCTTCACGCATCATTTCAATAACTTGTTTAATACTTTGCTCATTATGTGTCGCCGCCATTACCGATATGCTATCAGGACTTCTTTCCTGATATTCCTTTATTATTCTTTGCATCACCTGTCTGTACATCTCTGCTGTTGCCTAAAATGAAAGGTGTCGTTATTGTTAATTAAGAAAAAATCCACCACCATTTTCATGATTTATCGTTGAATTTTGGATACGTTTACAATGAACAATAACAATTTAAAAATTCCAATTCTTTACTTCAATATTCGGATTGATTGGGTCATCGTAATTTAGAGCAGCAGCACGTTTCCTTTCTTGTTCTTCATATGCACCACGAACAACTTTACATCCAAAATGGAAACCTTCCCGTTTAGCCAAATGTAAATCCAATTCAATGTTTTTTAAGCAACTCTTCAAATATGCTTGATAAGTGCTAAAAACTAAAGTGTTTTCTTTGTTGTACCTGAAATCAAATAAGTTAAAAGAAATATGAAATCAAATGATGCCTATAAATTTCTTTGCAAACACTTGCAATCTAAACTATTTTACATAATTCAACAGTAATTTCACAAATTCTTTTGTATTCCTGAGATAAAATCTAAGGATCTAAAAATATCAAAATAATCTCTTCCAAATTTAATTTCCTTTCCGATCAAATTTATTTTTTGTATAGACCAAAAAAAGTGTTAATCAATTGACTGTTAATTAGAATTGTATCTAACTTCCTCATCATTATCATTGCCAGTCTCGAAATAGCCGACTGAAAATAAGTTTGCTCAGCATCAATCATTGTACGTAAATTATACTTTTTTCCATACTCAATTGTTCGCATGATACGATCCATTATATTGACTGTCTAAAAAGAATTCCGAATTTTAGCTGAAGATTGTTCAAAGTTCAATATTATCGTATTTTTTTTATAGATTCAAACAAAAAAAAATGAAGAAATTATAGGTTTTACTTCTTGAGACTCAGTTCCTGTTAGACAATTCAATAACGGTTCCATTTTCTTCGTTTTCATATTGTACACCTAAAAAAGAGAAAATATAATTAAACTTTCTAAGGTTAATGCTTGTTTTGATCCGAATAAATTTTTAAAAACTATGAAATTTTTATACAAGACAGATTATCGGCATATGCAGCGTTGTTTCCAGAATATTTCTCTTGAAAACAGCGATAGTATTTGCAGATAACCGATTCACATATTGCCCATCTCTGGATTACTTATAATAAGCAAAAACATCAGGACTGTCCAGTCATTTGATGAAGCGATAGATTCATGTCTCATAGCAACTGGAAATGAGTTTTTATATTTCCAAAACTAATTTTTCAATAGTTCAAATCGTGTGCAAAATTTGAAAATCAAGAACTCAATGAAATTTGATTCCCGGATATTGTTTAACTACCTGAAACATGTGATCGTCCCGTTCGTGTTCGTTGATAAGTTTACGCCAATCGTAGGAGTCAACAAAGCCATTCTCGTTACAATCCACTGTTTTTAACAATTTCTGTATCATGGTTTTATCTATTTGAACACCGTGATCCTAAATGCTTTCAACTTTCTGTTGACAGTGTAATTATCAAAAAAAAATGTTCAATTCGTGCGAACTCTAAGTGAATTTAAAATTTTAAATGGAACTGCAAAGAAAAACACTTCAAAATATTTGTAAGTTTGTTTCAAATATGAATGCATGAGCAAAAAACCTCAATTCTCTTCGAAAATTCTTCTTTTGTGATTTTATCAAGCAGAAGATCCTCCCACGATGATCTAATCAATCTGTTGTAGAAATTGTCCGACTGTACTATTAATTCTGATAATTTCAGAAGCAACTGCGGTCTGAAATATGAGATGTAGTTCGAGTCTCAAAATACATAGGCAGTAAGTCTTGTTAAATTGAATGTGAATACAACTTTTATAAATTCAGTTAAACAAACAAGAAACCTTCCGAGAGCTGTTAATTTGATGCAATTAATTCCATAATTGCCGACTGCCGAAATTATTGCATCTACACTGGCACAAAAAATATCGCAGTTTTTATTGTACTGAACTTCATTTTCATAAAAATAAGTCCTGAAATGTTTCCTACTGATGTTAGGAAGACGATAACTATATCGATACAGTGAATAATACTGATTTTGGTAATTCTAAAACACGAAGTGTTATCATTATAAAGGCATCTTTTCTGAAAACTGCAAACTCGAAGTATCTTTATGGCAAAAATTTCTTGAAAAGAAATCAACAGAATGCCCCAAATAGATGATTTTACGATATAAAGTGTAAGTTTAGGTTAATGTTTCTTCATGGGATTTTAGAAGGAATGGTAATGAGATTTCAATGCACAGATTAGGGAAAACTTAGTGGTAAAATTTTATCTTATTCTAATTTTATTTTAAAGAAAAACTTAAAATCAACCTGGTGCTAACATCTTTACGACAATCACCAAATTCTTTGTGGACTGTATAATGTTGTTGTGTTTTTTCCACTGTTGCTTTGTCAACATTTCCTACTGGCTGAAGTTAAAATTTAAATTCTAATTTAAAACCACTGAAGGTCGAAAACATTCAACTACATGACATTTTTAGGTTAGCTCAGATTTCTATCAAAGAAATCTATTGATTGGTAGAAACATACATTTAAATATACAGACAGACATAGGAATAAAAGTAGAGAAAAACAGATAATCAACAATTTCTAAAAGTCGCAGAAAAATGTAAACAGAACAATTGGTGTAGATAATGAATGTCAATGAAATCAGTAAAATCTCAATTCTTCTTCAATTGTTGAAAATCAAACCTCAATTCTGATTTCACCTTCGTCTATTCCCTGTACAGTTTTCTTTTCGGCTTTATCCGAAGAAATATCCGACTCAACACAGTAATCCAAGATTGACTTCACTCCATATTTCTTCAGCCTTTTCATTGTCTCTTGCACCTTCAATATTAAGTTTTTGCATTACCACTTTGTAAATGAACCAAAAAATTTTTGAGTGGCTTGAATTCAAAAATCGAATTTCATTTTAAAAAGCTATAAAAAATTTATTTGCTGTAGGTATGATAACTGTCACTGTGCTTCCTTTTCCCATCCTTCCACTTTTTTTATTTTTTCCTACTTTTCTTATTCTTAAAAAGAATTCCAGATTAGATCGACTCAACTTCAGGATGATAAACATGAGAAAAGAATTCTTTCCATCTTTCCGATATATCAATTTTCTCAAAGAATTTTTATGAATTCTTTCCATCTTTTCGATATATCAATTTTCTCAATTCATTTTTTGTATTTTTGCATTTTTTATAAATTTAAACTAGAAACTGATGTAAATAAACGCCGTAACTTACCTCACTTACTGTTTCACCGCCAACAAATTGTCCGAAAAACGTTAATTTCAAAAGTTTCGCATACAATTTTTCACCAAATATTTTTTTCAATCCAACCATCAGTAGTTGTTCTCTTTTCCTTAATGACGGTAGTGTACAAAGAGGAAGTACAACAAGGCTACGGAACAGTTCACTCGTTTTTTTGCCCTGCAAAAAAAGAATAATACAATACAGTTTCTAAATTTATGCATTTCTTCAATTAATAACATAAACTGGAAAAAAATGATTCCCTGGGAAAGTCTCGCTCATTAAATATTAGCGCCCATAATTTGATTTCATTTATAAAATATTTAGAGAGGGAGAGGGTGAAACAGAAAAAAAGAACCACTTTAAAAGCAATTTTTGTGTTTTTGAAGTCCAAATCCAGCTTATTATAGCATTCGTTGATTTCATCAATATTTACTGCAGGTGCTTGCGATGATACTTCCGATGACGCCATGCTGCAAATGATTCAATTATAATGGATAACAGCTGCTGCCTAACCTAATCTATAAATTATGATGATTTCTGAAGCAAAGGAAAACTTGAAAAATTCCTAATAAAAAGTCAAAAAAAAACTATTTAAAAGCATAAATTTAATGATGTCACCATCCGCTAAAAAAAACTAGGAAAAGGTTCTCATAAAAAAGTACCATACCGATATGACAGATGCATCAATGATCTAAAGTTTAATAATGAAATAAAATTCTTTGCACGCAACAGTATTGCCGGCATTTTCTTTTTTCTTTCCAATAGAAAAAATATGATCAGTGGAGCGCGAACGCGGACGATTAGTATATCACAGCTATTCTATATAGCAAATAACCTTAAAATTTTTCAATAATTTACCAAATTTTTAAATCTTCCATATCAGAAATTTTTACGACCAAATTATATTTCACTAAAAAATGAAACAAGTGGTACCGAATTTTTAAAAAATTTAGATCATTTAAATTAAATTATTTGATAATATCATTGAGAATAATGCATCATAATTATAATTTGTCGATAACTAAAATTCTTGCCGTTAAATAGAAAAAAAATTAAATATGGTAAATTGTTATATTTCAACAATAAGCAGAATCGTAATTATAATCGTTGCCACTTTATGGGAAATTGATTGTTAGTACATTATACACATTGCTATGGAAGATTTTAAGAGTTGAAAATGTCTGGACATCATTCACCCACGTGATTAATTGTTGTCTACTAGACCCACTCACACACTACACAAATACTCCTTTGCATTTAATCTTATGCCGATTTTAATTACGCGGACACACAACAAACACACACATAAACACACATACAGCACATACATGTATACATCACTTATGCAATATTTTCCATTATGGTTAAGAGTGAAGGAAGGAAGCACCAAATGATAGTATAACTCCTCCTATCTCTTGAAAAAATTTCACTTTTGTCTCCTCCTTATGTACATATTATAACACATGTGTCTGCATTATCTATATACAGGTGTGATACGTGCATATAAATAAGTGCAGTACGTATATGGGTATAATACGTGCATATGAGTATAAACCGTGCATATGAGTATAAACCGTGCATATGAGTATAATACGTGCATATGAGTATAATACGTATATATGAGTATAATACGTGCATGTGAATGATAATAATGTATGAGATATAATGTACAAATGGATATGGTATTTTTTATACGCATATTGCTTCTAAGAATTAAAAATGATGAGCATGGATATACATTTTTATATTCGTTGCAGATGTTTTTCTTCCGTACGATATTAATAAAGCCTAATATACTAGTTAATGTTGATAACCGGTGATAAGAAGAATGCCACCAGAATTCACATGAGAAGTACTACAATAATTAATTAAATCTACAAAACAATAGTAATTAAAATACCTTTTCCTTCTTTTATTTAATTCAGTCGAATTTAAGAATTTAAGAAGGGAATAACTGGAGAGTCGAGATTTACTGGAGTTCTTAAGACTGATTACTCCCTTGATCATTTCTGAAATCTTTAATGTCAGTATTTAGAAACGTAAACACTATCAGTCATTTACCGTGAACAGTGAACTTTGCTGAAAAATAGAATTTCCGCATAAAAGTATTGCACATAATGATATTTAATGTTGTGATTTTTGGTTTTCGATAAATTAGCCTTTTATTTCAAGAATGTTCATATAACTCCTATTTACCTCACTTCTGACAGATGTAAAAGGTCATTAAATTTCAGTTTAAATTTTTCTAAAATGTTTCAACGAGGGACATCGACAATGATGTGGTTCGCCAAAATTTCTTTCATTGCAAATGTCCATTAGAGTCACTTCGCTTGAATAATTTATCCTCACAACTAACACCCACAAAAAATCTGTAGTGAATGAAAGTGCACTATATCATCATCTTCATAATATGCCTGCCAAACGGAATCAAACATCAGTGCTATCAATCTTTCAATCATTTGGTGATTTTGCTTCGTCACGTGTTGAATTGTTCATCGCAAAGTCTAAAAAATTGAGTCACTTTAGTTTCTTTTATTTAAAAAAAAAAGAAAAAAAGAAAATTCGGATGCTACAACTGACATTTTCTTATATTTGATCATCAAATTGAAAATTCAAATCATTCTCCGCTAAATTCGACAGAAATTTCTATCTCGACAGAAAGATCATAACAAAGAATGTTCCATATCACTACGATTAAACCTGAATTGGCTTACGTGCATTCTGCAGTGTTAATATCTAAGTGGTGTAATGGCGTTAATTCTTTACAGTTAGGCAATCTGCCGTTTTTTGTTTCTTTTTTAAAATTTCAACTTCAACGCTTTGGTAGACTAGATTTGTTACAGCGAAAATGCAACAATGGCAAAAAATTCTTCTACGTTCTAAATTTCACAAACCTTTTTTAAATATCATTAGGTTCAAAGAAATTTATATTTTTTCTGTTTTGAATAAAAGTAACTGAATGTGATCATTTTAGACCAAGTAAAAACTGTCATTTCTAAACGAAAACTAAAACAAATCACAATTTAGACATTATCGGTGAACTTCATTCTTTCATGATGCAAAATGGATTCACTGAACATTTTCGAAAAGTTTAATAACAATAATCTCATCCTTTTCCGATTACGTGTAGCTAACTATTCCTAAATTTTTTTTTTTTTTTTACAATAGCATTATATTCATCCATTTTGTTAAATTTTTTCCTTTTTTATACTGGCACTCCCTTAAGTTCTCATTATTTCATCCAATCACTATCAATTTAAATGTCCAGAACATATACACTCACATACTGATACACACATACAGACACACACACATACAGACATACACACATACAGACACAACACACATACAGACAGACACACATACAGACACACACACATACAGACACACACACATACAGACACACACA